TGTGAATTCTGAGTTCCGGCTGACCAAAACTCAGCGCTGCAATCCCATTGGACAAATAGCCACAGACACCCCAGGACCCCCTGTGGTGCAGCCCTGCTTTCCCTGAAACTACAAAACTCTCCGTCCCATCTAGCTCTTGGCCCTTCCCGTCTGACTCACGTCGGTGTAAGGAGGCACAGAAACATAGCTTGGCTGTTTTTAAAAGAAAACTCGGCCACGCGATTCAATTCGCTTGCAAGGAGGCCAGAACGCAACGTTGCTGCTTTTAAAAGAAAGTCCTAGGTCACTAGGACTACTCAGAAAAGTACCATATGAAGTGTTTCTGCCCAAAGTGACAGAGTATCTCAAGATCTTGTTCATGCATGAGCTCAATAGGGAGCATGGGATTCACAGGTGGTGTCTAAAGCCATGAGGATGCTGTACTGGACCATCATGGTAAAATGTTAGCCAACATTTGTTTGGATTCATCCGATGTTACCTCAGTTGTAGTCATGACCTTTGGGTACTAACCAAAAAGATAACTTCCTGCTCAGAACCTACTTTTGATGTGCAAGTCTATTTCAGAATACGGTCAATGCCAGCGGGAAGCAGGCTGTTTGTTACATGATACAATACGTCCATAAAGCCAGAATGAAAAATCGTTATCATATTTTCATACTTTCATTTCTGATTGTTTGATTCCTGCAGTCCTCCTGAGTAAGAAGTTTCACAACTGAACTGTGCTTTACTCCCTTGCTGAAAGCTGGAACAACTCTGTCTAATGAGGCTGTTAATGAGTTGTTAGTTGACACTGCTCTTGCAGGATGATGACATATCCAGAAGAGCTAGGTAAACACTTTGTCCCGAACTGCGCGGTACAGTCAAGGGAGGAGGGTGGGGGGGTAGACAGCAAGAACTGCACTGCCTCATGACGTTACAAACTTTCTGTGGCCTGGATTATTTTAACAACAAGCACAGAATTAATTTTAGTTTTACTAAAACTACTGTATTACTTGTTTGTGATCGAATCTGAATCATAGGAGAACCGCTCTGCATTAAATCTTCACCAATGGAGTAAACGCTTACTAAGAAGAAGTCACAAAATGTATATTTATTCTATTCCCCAGGTGTCACAACTGAATTTGGTCCATGAACTGGGGTTGTATAGATTGTGTAAAGGAGGGATTCGCATTGACTAGCATTGAGTAAAAAATTCAATTGACATAAGAATCCACATTCTCATCTTCTACAAATACCAAAAATAGATTATTGTAATAAAGTGCATCGCCACCTGAGACAATTCAAATTTAGAAAAATACACTTCATTTAACTTTCTGAACAACAAACAGTTCTAGCACGAAACATCCTGTAAAACCATTAAATGAAGTTTCTCCATTCCTTAATCCATTTTTGTAAGAATTAAACAAGCGTGACATAACTATCACTATGTTAATGAGCGAGCTTTAAAGGTGCGGTTTGTGAGGAATTTAAGTTTAAAAGCATTAGTATGTTGAAAAGCGCTCAACGATGGATATTATGTGTTACAATATGTTTACTTGTAGAAGGTTTAAACTAAAGGGAGAGTTACTGAATGTACTGTGCACTGTGAGAGAAACCAGAGAATTTATGACACCGCCATAAAGTCAGAGAGAGGGGGATGTTGCTGAAGACTTTCTGAGCACAGCCTTCAAGAAGGGAGGAGGACTTGGTCAAGGAAGTGGCCAACTGAAGTCCGAAGGGTTCAGCCACTCATTGAGCTGATCGATGGGCTGAGGAATGTGTAATATGAGACATTTCAGAGACTTTGGAGGGACAAAGGAACTGTGAATCCCTGGAGATAATCAGACCTCCTCCGGACCATGGGGCAGATACACCAGTCTGTCGTGTGGTGCGGATTGGGCCTCTATTTCATGAAATATATATATTTGTTTTGTAATTCATAGTGTGATTCAGTTTGTAACTGTTTTAGCTTCTGTCAATTAATAAATACTTTTGATTTAAACTTCAACCAGCTGATTCGGCCTTATCTTGCTGACGGATCAGGAGCAACGAGGGGGGCTTTTTCCTTTGCCTTTTGTTTGAGAAATTTTGAACATAACAGGTTAAAGAAAGTTAACCACCTGTTGACTCTCGCTTCACATATATTGCACAGACATGAGGATGTATTTCTCAAAATGTCCCTTGAATTTAGTGCACATGCATACATAAAACTTAATTTTCATCTTACTGTATGGCCTTGCTTAGTTGTCATACACTATTGCATCATTACTTGGACTTTGTTTTCCAACTAAATTTCAAGATGAACAATAGCTGGTCTCACGAGAGACCCAATTAAACCAAGTGCGTCGGTAGACTGACTTACATAGGGTTGAAAAATGTTCTGTATCATTTGTGATAGTCTATGAAAACAATACATTTTAAGTTGTATATTTATTTTGAAGGATAAATAAATCAAACGCCAAGTGGCAAAAATAAATAAATGTAAAGTAAAGTTGTTTATCCCTGAAGTGTGTTTTAACATTTTACATAAGATCTTTATATGCAATAGAACTGCACTCAGTTCTGTAAGTGTTCAGTCAGGTTAAAACTTACATTCTGAATTTTATTAATTTCTTCTGGCTCAGTGTGCTGTGTCTAAAATAATATTAGAATCTACTCCAGAGACTATTAAAGCTCCAGGGCCATGAGAGATCTGGAGTCAAACTATTACATGGAGTATTATCCGAAGGGATTCACTATTAAGGTATTGTCGCCAAATAAATGAAATTAGCTCCCTGGGTATATTACAGCTGTTTAGAATGTCCCAAGGAGAGAAAAATCCTCTGAAATGACATAACAGAAGGCACTAAGAGGGCAAAATGACGGGACGCATGCTCTGCCTCAGGCCTGCAGGGAACGGCTCATTACACCATTTCCAATTCTGCAAAAAAACATACAAAAAAAGCTTGCAAATTAGCCTCTTGAGGGAATCAACCACAGATGCAGTCGGGCTACAACTAATGATTTATTATTTATCAATTTATCTTTCAATTAATTAGTTCAACAAATCAATTGACTATTTATTCTACAAGATGTTGCAAATGCACACTCTTCACAAAATCTTATCATTTTCATTTTAGAAATTACTTAAAACAATATTTTCTGTCACTCAACCAATTAATCAACTATTCATTTCAGCACTTGTAAAACATACTTTCGACTTTCCTCAACTACAAACTGTCAACTCTCTAGCAGGGCGACTCCGGGGAATCCCAGCACAACGCCCCTGTAGCTTCTCATTTGCCCTCACGAGAGGCCTGAACTGTTGTTCTGCTCCTGTTTCCCAGAGGACAACAGTCTTGCTTAAACATGTTGTGACCAAACTGACTAATTGATCCTGAGAGTGTTCGGCCCCCAAATACAGACAGAGACACAAATATTTATCCCACAAATGATGCAGCTTATTGTTGTTCAAGTACTTTTTGTCTTTGCTAGTTTTTAGTTTTGAAAGACATACAACAATTCCCACCACTATGTGTTCTGACTCTGACATTTCTGGCCTTTGATTGAGCTGCACTTTCTTTATCAGCGTGGTTCAGTCTGAAGTGAAAATAGAGTCAGTAATTTGTATTTATTTATTATTTATTGATACAATGTTAACGTCCTTTTGGGGAAATCATTTTCGTTGTATGTTTTCTTTAATTTGTGAACAAATAAACTCATTTTCTGAATCTGCTCTTTTGATAGATGATCTATAGATTATGATAGATCTACTATAGAAGATGCATAGCCCGAGTATTATACTCTAACAATAAAATCACAACTGATAATGACTGACACAGTAAGCTATAACATGCTTAAAGAAAGACTAAAGAAATAGGAATAAGTACAGCGATAGTAAGAGATTGTGGATAAGGGCCAATACACACGGCAACATGTGAAGAAGGGGAGGACTGGCACTGCTCAGTGGTCAGCATTTACATGACAAAACCTTGTCCTCCTTGACTGCCGTGTGACTGTAATTAACTTTAGAAAGAAAAAGAGAGTTGGTATTCATCAAATGTTGGCAGGCTTTTGGCATGTACATCTATAAACCTCAAACTGCTAATGAAAATTTCTGTAACCCCAGAAATTCACCCAATTTCCAGATTATTGATCGTTAGGCACCTTAATCCTAAACTGAACGTCACACGACAACTGATCTGGGGCGTATCTTCGAACACTTCCAAACTTTTGACATGTGGCCTTTACTCTCGTCAAAGTGAAACATACCGTATTTTAAAAAGAAAGCAAAAATCTCACCTTCGTGTCTCCGAGTATGTTCTTGAGTGTTGCTGGTAGTGTTAACAGCCCAGCAGGCCTAACTTTGTGTTTCAGTCCCCATACTTTCCTGTTATCCTTCTGTCCAATGATATAAAAGGTTCCCTGACCGATAACATAATATTTTGTAGCTCATGATATTATTACACAACACTGTATGAAGATATTCTAATGTTTTTACACTGTATGAGAACACTAAACTTGAACTTAGACCAGCATATTTAACATTATAATCCGCTTCAGTTCTTTGAACAGCACTAGTGGGCACATATATTTGCAATGTACCATCTATATATTTAGTTAACAGTCATGAGTAGGCCTATATTTTGTCCACACTATACTGTAGGCTGTGTATTTTGTGCTGCACTCCTCTGTTTATAGTTCCGAATATAGATCCAGATGTAGCCTACTAGACAGAGTTCCCCATAATTAAATTACAGCAATATTGCATTCTGACTTTTCCTGCACCAAAAATGTTCCTATGTTTACTTTTGGTAGAGGCTAAACATAACGCAGGTAAAGTAGAGCATACCCTGTATTTTCATAAAGCCTACATTTTTCTACTAAACTAAAGCCTACCATGACGTTACATGGTTTATAGCGATGTGTCATTATTTAAGTTTTGCAGAAAGTCATTGGGATTCATTAAAAAAGAGAGAGAGAGTAGAGTTGTTATGGACAACTTGAGAACGCTTTTCTTTTTTTCTTCCACTGGGACAAAGTTGTATCGACACACCGAGCGCTTCCTGCCTGTCAAAAAATCTTTATAAAACAAAAAGGCTGCTGCTTGTGTTGGTCAGTCTGTCAAGGCCGTCCAGTGAGGTAAGCACTGATATGCATCTCAAACTCTGTGACACACTGCAAATACCATCCCTCTCAGTCATGTGTGCTGTACTGACGCCTATCTGCCTAACTCTGCATTCAGTATGTTTCAGGTGGATGAGAACTACACACGGGTGTCAGAGTTTGTTATTGTTGGCTTCTTAAATCTCCAGCCGAAGTATTTTGACCTGGTAGCGTGGAACTTCTTCTTCCTCTATGTGACCACAGTGGTGGGCAACCTTCTGCTGGTGGTGTTGTTTGCTTTGAAGCACAGCCTCCAGAAGCCCATGTACATCATCATGGTCAGCCTGGCCCTCTCAGACATTGGTAATAATGGTGTTGTTTGAATTTACCTGCAATACATCTTCTGTTCTCAGGTTCTAATGTATTAGCTACTGCTTTAATAAACAAAATATTACTCCTAACAGTCATATTTAAAACAGTTAAACAAAGATTGATGGTCTCATTGGTTGTATAAATTACTGTTGTCGACCTTGAACATGATAGAGGCAACAGTGGCAAATGGGAATATGAGAGAAAGAATCAACATCTCAATAATTGAAGTGCAATCCAAGTTTCTGGTGAAAGAAGTTGAAAGAAGTAGGCCAGAATGAACCACATATTGGTGTAAAAATCAATGGACATCCCAATTTTGTCTCCAGTAACTGGTGTGAAGGATTTCAGGTTGAAGAAACAGTATGAATCAGTCTGCCCTTCAGTTCAAATCAATGCATTCAAGTGTGACATGACATCATACATTTGAAAATGAATGTGATCCTGAAATTGCATGGCATGTAGTGTTCGACATGAAATAGTTATTCATATAGTAAAGCAGAACGGCTGTTGTGATCTGCATGTCTTGTCTTCTCGTTTTTCTTTTCACTTCCTCTCTTCTTCCTCCAGGCTTTACCACCGTAGCTTTACCTAAACTAATCGCTCGCTACTGGTGGAATGACGGGAGTCTTGGCTTTCACACTTGCCTCTTTCAAAAGCACATGATCCACTATTTTGGCTCCTTGAACTCCCTGATTTTAATGACTATGGCCCTGGACAGATATCTGGCCGTCTGTTTTCCTCTCAGGTGAAGAGAAGCTGTTTGATTAGTCTAACTTCTACACACTGGAATATGACAAAAACAAATGATTCTCTTTTTTCTCACCCTCTCTTTATATCCCCCTTTCCCTCCTCAGATACCCGATGTGGATGACAAACACAACCATGACAGGCCTCACGCTCCTCTGCTGGGTGGTCTCACACATATTTTCTGGCATTAGCACTGTCAACTTCACTATGATGTCATTTTGTGGGCCCAACCAAATCATACAAGCCTTCTGCGACACCATCTCTCTTACCGCTCTAGTGTGCGGGGACACCACGGAAAAATTCAACACCGCCTTTGCTGTAGCAATGTTTGTTCTTAATGGTCCTTTAGCCTTCATCATCTTCTCCTATATTTGCATCGTCGTCTCAGTGCTGCGCATGTCCGGTGGACAGGTGAGGTTCACCTCTTTCTAGCCACAGATAATGGTGTATTTTTACATATTGCATGTTTGTTAGATTAAAACCGGGGTTTCGTTTTTTGGCAAAAATTCAATCAGCTGTAATTCAAGTGGTCTGACAGAAGACTAGACTTCTGCACCTCCTCGTGGCTTTGTTTTCAGGCTTTAGAAAATCCAGTAAATGACAGGAAACTGTTGCCAATCCCCGGGCATTTCAGAGACAGGCATTTCCTATCAGCTGTTCTACGAATGCAGATGATTGTGCGCATCCCTTCAGATGGTGAAAGCCTGATTCAACAGTTAAATATCCTTCAGGAAAAGTTGCTGTTCCAGCATTGGCAACACAAATAAACTGCCTGCCCCAGCTTTAAACCAGATACTTTCATTCTAAAATTGACACATATTTTCTGTCTTTTTATCCTATTATCAATAACTGCCTTTAACATGAATCTGCTGTTCTCCTCAGGGCAGAATGAAGACATTCTCTACCTGTGCCACCCAGGGCTGCATCATTTCTATCTACTACATACCGCGTTTCTTTGTCTACTCTGCACGTTTCTTTCCTAACCTGACGATGACCCCTGACAAGCGCATAGTCACCACCCTCTTCTACAGTTTTTTCCCTCCACTGATCAACCCGTTTATCTACTGTCTGAGAACCAGGGAGATCAAGCAAATATTGACACGCTGGGTGAGGAGACGAATGCGCGTTACGCCTTCGAAATGTGTCCAAACTGTCACTGTCACCAAATAAAAACTGACAAGTAATCCGGGATTTTGATGATACAGAAGAAAATCAAGGCATAGGTCTGTCTACCCTCTCTTTGTCCTGCTTTCGCTTTATGTGTATCATTACTGCTTTAATTCCTAAATAAAAAGACAGTATGCATTCAGTGACAGGTTCTTGACTGCTGTGGTTGGACACGTTGTAAGACACTGACAATATTTCCGTCCCCTTAAAAATCACATAAAGAGAGAGAGAGAGAGAGAGAGAGAGAGAGAGAGAGAGAGAGAGAGAAGCTGCAGACATATCAGATATGGCCTGTCAAAAACAGAACAGAACGTAGATTTCTGCTCTCAGATTTCCAACTGTTTGGTTGTATTTTGCTTATTCTTGCTCTTCTGTGAATTAGTAGTTGGCTTTCTTTAAATGATGACTGTACATTTTAATTGTACGGACCCAGTAATATTGCCCTCCCCATTTCCTACTTTCATAAGCAATATTACTTTACTTTTTTAAAGAGGGCTACACATTCACACTACTCTTATTCAGTCCACCTCACTCTCTAATTATAATATTCATACAAGTCATACAAGGTTCCTGAATATTTTTAAAAGAAAACGATAAGTCAGTTGAATACAAACATGTTTGGCAATGATTTAAATCATTCATCTAATGTATTATATGGCACTTGATGGAGTGTTTCATCCAAAGCACCCTCTGCTGTCCGTTTAGAGCACTGGTGGTTCATGTTGCTGATCAGGTATTTTGCCAGAAGATGGCGACATCCTCAAACCTGACATACGGGTCGAACGCAGATAAAAGAAAATCATATCTTGCCATGCTGTTTGGATTATGTTTGGTGGATGCTATCCCATAGTGATATGCCTATATGCTCCACACAAATATGAGTCATGAATGTGTGGGTGTAGCTTTTTTAATGGGGCTCCCCATCCATGCCCACCCTGCCTGCTTCATTTTACACCCTGTTGTAGACAGTCACACGTAATCTGTCATTCATGCTGTATACTTAAATGTCACTGTTGTTAATAATATCACATATATTGTAAATGTTACTGCAAAATGTTTACTCATGCAGACTCACACTACCTGTGAAACAAGAACGCGTCTGTATAAAGAGACTGGTGTATTGTTCAGAGGCCGGGCAGCAGCAAAACTGAGTGGTTCAATGTGCCGTTCTGAATGGTACTACTGTAACCACAATCCTCTCTGTCTGCATTTAGACTCTTTAAACAGTGTGTGTGTGTGTGTGTGTGTGTGTGTAAATACCAGGCGAATAGTTGCATTCATGTCACTGTGTGGACACAGCATGATTGCAAGGAGGGGATGAAAACAGGGAGGAGGAGAGGAAAAAAGCTACACTGGAGTTCACTGAAGGCAGCAGAAGTCCAGTCAAAGTAACTACAGCTGTCATCTTTTAATAAAATAAAAATGTTGCAAACCTATTGATATTCAATGTTTATTCAATTGAATGTTCCATTTCTGTAATTGAAAACAATCCCCGCGGTAATGGAGCATCTCTTGTTTGTTCAGTTTGTCATCGGCAAACTATGTCGGGATGGCAGGCTGAACTGTGCTCTGTGTTCCACTCTTCTTCCTGCTGCACTTTGGTCGAATGACTGTTGTGCAAACTGGACAAGTGGCTTAACAGCATCACATGGTTGTCACAAAGAAAATGATGCAATTAAATTGTATTCCTTCTTGCGTGAAGACTATAAGTTTGTCGTCTTTATTGAATGTTGAGTGAGCGTATTGTAAGACATTTCTTCCACTGATAGACAAGCGTTGGTACGTTTCTGACGGCCCACCACTGATTCTCTTTCATGTAAATTGACTGTCAAGTCTTAACTGACAAGCAATATTTTCAAACTATTGTTGACTTTAAGGTGGTGTCACAAGTACTTGTCAACCACCTTCAGAATCTATTGACAGCCAACCCACAAGCAACAGAGTCCTACACACAGTGCTGCACGGTGCAGTACATGTACTCAAGCACAGCTTTGAGTTGCTTGTACTTTGCTTGAGTGTCTTTATTTTAGGGTTAGTTATACTTCTACTCTATTACATTTCAGCTTGAACTGTACTTTTTACTTCACTACATTTATATCACAGCTAGAGGTACTTTACAGATTAATACTTTACATACAGCACACAATAATCTTATGTCGAAAACCTATTCAGATCCTTTTACTTTTGTGAGATGATGAATGGTGAAGGAATATATATATATATATATATATATATAT